AAAAGCTTCTAGATGCCTCCAGTGATTGCCTCTGATTCACCATGCTTCCCATTCCACAACAAAACTGCAACCACACTGCAAGATGTGCTGGCAAAGGTCTTCCAACAGTGCTTGCATACAGGGTTCATAGAATTGCCCAGAAACACATTCTCCTTATGCTGGCATTATTTCCAAGCCTCTGTGTTTTCTGGTGGAACTAGAGACAAGATTTCAGGGATGGGTCTGCAAGATGTGCTGGCAAAGGTCTTCCAACAGTGCTTGCATACAGGGTTCATAGAATTGCCCAGAAACACATTCTCCTTATGCTGGCATTATTTCCAAGCCTCTGTGTTTTCTGGTGGAACTAGAGACAAGATTTCAGGGATGGGTAATTTGAGATTCCCAAACTCCTTTGTGGTCCCTGGGGCCCTCTCCAATACAATCATAAAAAAATCAATAGCATGATTTCTTGCCATTTTGAGGCAGGAAGCTCACAAAAACAGTACCATAAACCATAAAAGAAGCTTAATAGTTTTAAAAAGAAAAAGAAAAAAGCACATTAAATCTACTCTCCCACCCCCACCCCCAAAAATTGGGGAGGGGGAGTTCAGAAATTCACAGGCCATAGCAGTCCTCAACTTCCAAAAAAGTTACAGGAGGCCGCCTCTTCTCCAAAAAGTAGCTTCCTTATTTCTACCATTTGAACCCTCTATGTTCAAATAGACCCCACAGGAACAATCCTTCAATGACATTTTATAGGACCAAAATCACACATCCCCATCTTATATCTTGCTATTCTAACTAGACACAACCCAACCCATATGTTTACCACTTTAAAGCCCAATAAGATGAGGGATGCCATGCACTAACACAGCCCTTCATTTACAAAAATGTATTGAACATGATGCTTATTCCTTAACTAGCAACTTTTAATATATAAAAATAAATTTAAAGATAAGTAGAAGTACCTTCTACAATCCTATCATCAATATCTTGTCCACTACCATAGGATTCAGTCAAATACCTATAAAGTAAGAAAATAAAAACATTTAGCAACTTTTGTAAGTGTCTTAACTTAATCATATAGCAGAGATTCCTTATAATTAAATGAGCTATATCCAAACCTTATACAGAAAAAGGCTCAGTCATTAAGGAGGTTTTGTCTGCTATGATGTTGGGGTCAGAGCACTTTCGGTAGGCAGGACAGGACTGGGATGCAATACAGAAGGTGCAGAGGTAGAGGACAACCTGGCAAGCACAGCCAGTGCCTACATCCTAAGCCCTCAAGATTGCATGTGACTCCTGGAAGCCTGAACAGCAGCCCTAAGACTGTAAAAAGTTTGTCTATTCAGAACATTCATATGGTTGTTGATACTAAATAGTCATTTATAATGTGACAAAAGGGGAGAATGATTGAAGATATTACTATATACTACTCATACAAACTGTATTTATTTTAATGAAATCAAATTTAGTTCTGTCCAGCTCCCATCCACTACTTTTTGGAATGTCTTCTGGCCAGGGGAAGATGCACACCTGTGACCTAGGCTTTCCCTGAGGGTTCTCTAAGGGTCCCTTGAGAGTGAAGGAAATGGTAGGCAAGCCCTTTTCTTCAAGCAGCCTTTTATTTGTACATCATTTAGATCTCATCCAAAATAGGTGGGTCAGATTGAAGGCCTTTGGTCAGAAGTTGCATTAGAATCAATCCTTCAGATTTAAAAATGATCCTCTGAAGAGTCTATTCAATACTAGAATCCTGCTCAGACATGTTATTTGGGAAACCAGCATGATAATGCAGTTAAGAAACTTGGGTCTT